AAAAGGAAACTATACATAGAAAAAAAAATTAATCACAGGGGTGCAGTGAAAACACACACCTGCGACACACAGGCATGACCAAGGACTTGTCCCAGGTGCAAATCAAGGCAGGTGTGGTTGTTCTCTCATTAGTCCTTGATTTTGTCTGTTTGTTTCACTCATGCCTAAGTGTTCCTGCCTGTATAAATCACACATGTGGGGCTCTTGGAGGATAACAGGTAACCGTGATGATGTACAGCTTTCCCCTGCTGCGCTCTGTAGTATTCGTGTAATAATTTCAAATATGCGATTGACATGAGTTAATAACGTTTCCTCTGAACAAGACTTTCCTATTACAGCTTTAACAGAGCTTACAATAAGCATAAACAAAAGAGTTTTGCAGAGAACAATGTGTTATTTAAACATTAAAGATTAAATGGCCATTCTTCTGCTCTGCTCTCCAAAGAGGTGGAACAACAAGGCTGGGGCCAGTGCTGAGAAATAGGCCGATGCCTGATCCATTAGTCACAGGCCAGCCAGTAACAGAGCGATCAGCAGTAAGTTCCTGTTTCTTTGACTGTTTTAATGTAGTAACTACAAGGAATCAGTCATTTTTTTAAGTAGTTGAAGGGCACATACAGAAAATCACAGAAGCATGTAAATAGCAGCACATTATAAATCCTTATATGTTGGACAAATTAAAAAAAATATTAACCTTGTTTCTTGTGACATTTTGTTGGTCTAAGTTTTAGTGTTATTTCATGTTTGTCTTTTTTCTGTACTGTAATCATGTTTCATTTATTTGACCGTTTTCTGAAGGGGCCCATCGTCATCATCAATTTCTTAGATTTCACAAGGCAAGACAGCAAATTTCCTTTGGGTTCTTAATGTGAGCACTCATTCATTTTGGGATTTAAAAAGTGTCGCCACACTGATTAAACTATCGCCTCCTCTTAGCCACTCCTCCTCTTAGCTAGCGGCTGTGGGGAAAATCTGTACATGTCCAGCTTTCAGAACACCTGGAGCAACGTAATCCAGACCTAGAACGACGAGGTGAAGGACTTCAGCTATGGAGTGGGTTCTGTCAATGGAGGAGTGGTGGGACACTAAACACAGGTTCTTCTCCACCTTCTTCTTTGGGCTGCTCCCTTTAGGAATCGCCACAGTAGATCATCTGCCTCCATCTCGTCCTATCAAGTCCATCCTCTTCTGCCACACCAACCCTTCTTCCTTCTTCACTACACCCATGAACCTTCTCTGAGGTTTTCCTCTTTTCCTCCTGTCAGGCAACTCCATCTTCAAAGCCCTTTGTCAAGTATATCCTGCATCCTTCCCCTGCAGATGTCCAAGTCATCTCAGTCTTGCCTCTCTAACTTTATCTCGAAACCCCTCAAACAGACATATCCTCCTGATGCACTAATTTCTATCCTGGTCACTCCAAATAAAAATCTTAAGACCTCCTGTCTTTTTGTCCAAGCCACCATCCCTAAACCATACATCGTATCAGGTCTCACTACCAACTTGTAAAATTTCTTTTTTAGTCTTGCTACTATCCTCCACAGGTACTGTTTTATATAAATATAGAGGTACTGTTTTATATAAATATAGAGACATATAGTATATATAATATAACTCAGGCACCCTTACTTGAGGTAATGCCACTGGATATATGTATCACTCCATAGGTGGTTTGGCACAACTCCAATCAGATCAGCTGTGCTATGGCCTGCTGTCCCAACTCCAAATACAAGTACTTCTATGTCTGCCAATGCTGCCCACCATGAGTATAAAGCTTCCTGTAATGATAATGTTTCTTAAAATTTTATTCACTTCAAATGATTGTTGAGGAGTAATTTGCAGTAAATGGATCCAAATGATTTGGAGCATCATGCAATACAAAATGAATTTGGAAGCAAAAGTAAAATATAATTTCCTTTATTTTACCCTGAATGCATTCATTTTCTGTTTCGTTATTATCTTTGTATTGTGAAACC